GGTCAAGGCTTGCCAGTGGTCATATAGCCTTGCATGCATTTACCCCTATATCCTCGGTTCCTTGGGTGTGTGGTCAGGCAATAGATGACTGGGACCCCAGATAGGCGTATAGATAGATTGTATTGGGTGTTATTAGAAGATATAATCACTGTCTTTCACCGGGGCCAGGTCCCTCTACACTGAAAGCGGGAATTCGAAAATCAAAGAGTCCCAGATGTTGTGGTAGTGTTTTACGGTGTTGTGGATTATGACTGATAAGCTATCTATCTTCCAATTTTCTCTTAATGGTGGCCAAGGAGGGGATGTCGGGGCACCCCCATTTCTTGGCTACAGTGTGTCAAGTGGCCAATGCTACTTGGGCTATACATTTGTTATGTGCTCTGGGGACATCGTTGTGGGGTTTAGAGAGGAGCTAGGTCCATGGATCCAGTGGATTTGTGAGACCTGGAGCCATAGTTGGGCTATGGATGGGCAGTCCCACCATAGCAGGAGGTAGGTGCCCTTGTCCCCACATCCTTTCCAACAGCGGTCAGAGCTCGATGTGCCTATTTGTTTTAGGTGGAGTGGGAACGGGGTATAAGACCCTCATGAGTGGACATCTCATGAGGGTCTTATAGGCCTGCTCTTTGTGGTTGACACATATGAAAATTGCCACTATGGCTTCCCATATAGCTTTCCAGTGTGACACATCATAACCCGCAGGGCCCAGATCTCTCTCCCATGCTGCTGTATAGTACAGGGAGTCATCTGTGAATGTTTGGGTGATGTGAGAGTATATGATAGAGATTTGGCCTTTGTTGCTTGGGTTTTGCATACACGCTCTTTCAAAGGGGGTTTGGCGAGTGGAACCCACTTTTTTATTCAGTGGTGTGCTAAGGAAGCTTTTTAGTTGTATATATCTGAAGTGATCAAAAGTGGTGAGGGTGTAGACTCGGTAGGTCCAGAATCCAATAAGTTGTTGGTTGCGAAAAAAAATGGTGGAGTCTGACCATGTCGTTGTTTTCAAAGCGGGCAAAGTCTGTAGGAGTCATGTCCTTGGTGAATTGCAAATTGCGTAGTATCAGTGTCAGTGGGAAGGGGTTTGTAGTTCGTGAGCACTTGAGTGCCAGTTTGTCCCAGATTTTGATGGACAGTATCAAGGCGGGCAAGGTGGGGGGTAATTGGGGTCGGGGTCGCTCTATTAACTCTTGCTCATTTGTTGGCCCAAATTCATTTGTCTATTTTTTAATGTAGGAGTTTAAAGTTGGTCAGCGAAATTTGAATTGGGAGATTTTTAAATAAGTATAGGAATCTCAATAGTAAATGCATTTTCACTGATTCTAACCTCCTTAGCCATGAGATAGAGAGTCCTGTCCATATGATAGGTCCTGAGTTGTTTTCTGGAGTAAGGGAGTGTATTTTAGGCAGTACATCTGGGAGAGATTGGCTGGGAGGTGCGTGTCCAAATAGTGTATGCTGGTGGGTTGGAATGTGAAGGGGTACGTGTGTTTTAAGTTAGCTAGGGTGGTGGGGAATAAGGTTTTTTTTTTTTTAAATAGTGGTGGCTGTTTTGAAAAGCAGATGCCTAATGTAAAATTAATTTAAAAAAACAAAACAAAACAAAAAAAACACTATTATCCTCATGTATCCCTCCTTCAACTGTAGAGATAATGGGTGTGACAAAACCCCTGTTTTGTTAAATATCAGGAACCTTTCAATTCGTCTGCTGTTCGTGTAATTGACTGCCTTTCGTGCTTTTAATGAAAAAACTGAATAAACTACTGAACAGCCAGACAACCTACACTGGAAGTGTGCAGCTCATTCCCCACCCAGCAGTTGCAGTTAACCACAGATATTTGATGAACGGCTGGGTGGTCCCCGTTCGATACGCCCAGCGGTGCTATTTCCGGCCTTAATTTCATACGAACATCGCTGGGGTGAACCAGCCTCCATGTCATTCCTCTCCAATTGTACAAACACTGTGCCATTCGGTACATTTAATATACGAAGGACACAGACCCGAGGTAGCTGAATCCATGGAGCTAATTTCGGATACATTTCAACGAACAGCCGGTGAACAAACTCTTTAGCTCCATGGCGTTTGAACTGTGTTTGTGGGATCTGAGCGCTGTTCAGCTATATTGAGCGCTTAGATCCAAGCTATCTGGGGGTATGTCGAACATGGGTGTTCCATTCGTCAAAAACAAAAGTTATTGTATTAATACAGTTTTGTTACATTGTAAAAAGAAAATATTTTTCTCTACCTGGAGATAATGGAGTTTACTCCAACCACTTAAGCCATTTATCTCCAGGATAGAGAGGAGGAATTTTACAGTTTGTGTGGGTGTGTTTATTACGGTAATGTAAAATGATTGGTTACTGTATTTTGTGTCACAGTCTTCCACAAGGTCCCTGTGGGAGTATCCCTTGCTGGAAGACCTGCATAAAAGGCCGAGCTGTGGCCATCAATAAACCAGATTGTTTTACCCCTTCATGAAGTCTCGACTCATGTTTGGGGAATTGAGGGCTATAATCACTACTCTTCCTTACTTCAGCTGGGATTTCGGGAGAAGCTACAAGGATCATTCCTACAGGGATTATAGGATCAGTTACAATGGGCTAAGGAAACCCACATCTGGGCTTTTTGTTTTGTTTATAAAATCCCCAGTTCTGGTGACTTTTTCAACTTGGCTGTTTTGTCACCATAATTTGCTGTGGAAGTAGAAATGTACTTTCAGAAAAATCTTAGAACGTATGGCAATAATAATTTAGTTTTGAAAACATTATTCATTCTTATTTTTTTGTCAGTCATAATGACAATTGAAGACATCTAATTAATTGTGTTTCCTAGAATGAATCTACACAACTGTGCCCTTAATGAAAAAGCACTATGCATCATCAGCTAGACACCTGTGCAACTCAAAGGGATTTATAATATAAAAAGACGTTTAATGAACTAGTCCACATGTGGCAATAGAAAAGGCATACACTTTAGTATCCTAAAATATTTCTAAGTTCCTGCTGTTATCAATCTTGATAATATATTTTTCATAACAGATTAAATTAGTTTAACTTTTACATAGTAAAAAAAACATTTCCCCCCTATACGTTTTGTAATTTTTCTTTTCTTGGTTATCATCCACAGCTGGCAACAAGGAATTAGCCCTTCCCTTGCAGCCAGTAGGACAAGAAATAATTATGTCTAGACTGTAAAGGAACTTACTTTGTTCAAGTATTAAAGGGACACTATAGTCACCAGAATAACTACAGCTTATTGAATTTGTTCTGGTGAGTAGAATCATTACCTTCAGGTTTTTTGCTGTAAACACTGTCTTTTCAGAGGAAAAGCAGTGTTTACATTACAGCCTAGTGATAACTTCACTGGCCACTCCTCAGATGGCTGTTAGAGATCCTTCCTGGGTCAGGGCTGCCTAAAATGCATCCAAACATTCAGTATCTCCTCCCTCTGCAAGCAGACACTGAACTTTCCTCATTAATTCAATTCACCTCTATGAGGAGATGCTGATTGGCCAGGGCTGTGTTTGAATCATGCTGGCTCTGCCCCTGATCTGCCTCTTTGTCAGTCTCAGCCAATCCTATGGGGAAGCACTGTGATTGGATTAGGCTACCACTTCTGATGATGTCAGCAGACTGCTTGTTTTTTGTTTGTTTTTAGGCAAACAGCATGCAGAGTTACAGCTTCTGGCTTGAATACAATAAGATTTTGCTATATTTATGGAGGCATGATGGGCCCAGGGGGGCTAGATGGTGGTTTTAATACTATAGGGTCAGGAATACATGTTTGTGTTCCTGACCCTATAGTGATCCTTTAAGTAAATAAAATATTGGAATATGCAATTCAACCTTTCAAAGCCCATTGTTGGATTTGTATGTCTCTGCAATCAGTGGTGTATCCTGGTTTTGTGCTGCCCTAGGCAGGAAAAAACTCAGGTGCCCCCCCCCCGCACGCCACCCAACCCTTCCCCCCTGCCCCGCATTCTAAATACACACACACACACACACTCACTAACACACACACTAACAGACAGACACACTCACTCACTCACATTAACACTCTTTTTTTTATTTTTTTTATTTAACCCTCCTCCCCCAGCCTCCTTACCTTTAGGAATGCTGGGGGGGGTTCTCCCTCTCCCTGGGGCTGCCGGTCAGGCTGATGGGCTGGCTGCTGGGCGAGCGGCGCTGGCGAGGGAGCACTTTCCCCTGAGCAGTCTGCTCAGCTCCCTCGCGCGCCGGGCGGAGCGTGAGGCAGCTGAGCAGACAGCTCAGGGGAAAGTGCTCCCTCGCCAGCACCGCCTGCCCAGCATCCAGCTCATCAGCCCGCCTGACCGGCTTGTCAGTTAGCCGCAAGGCTAACAAGACATTTGCCCTGAGCATTTGGGGGCGGCTTTTTTTGCCATACCCTGGAAAATGCCGCCCAAGGCAAATGCCTTGTTTGCCTTGCGGCTAAAACGTCCCTGACTGCAATGATTAGAAAGTGGTTTTTTTTATTCTATTTCTGGTCCTCCAATTATCTGTGTGAGCAATATGAATATCTGTAAAATCTCTGAACAGCATGGGTTTTGTGACAGTAATATATCATAAGAACATAAATGGAATTAATAGTACACCGTATTAGCAGTGGTTTTATTCTTGGTTTTGCATGAATGAAAGGATCAGCAAATGTTTCTTTGTGTGGCTTCTGTACAAGCTCTTGAGAACATAAAGCCTAGTTCCAACTTGTAATTCCTCCCAAAAAAATAAAACTTTAGTATAAACATTAACTGTGTGTTTGTATGAGCACATACTGCACAAAACACTTGAAAGTGCACACTTAAATTACTCTTATAGGAATAAGGCTGTGAGGTAGGATAATGCAAACAGAATATTTTATACAAAATGATCAATTAGGGGGCAGGGGCGGGCCGCATGGACGCCATATGCATGGGCTCCAGCACAAACCCGAGCAAAAAGGCATAAAAAGCCGTTCCAGACTGCCTAAAAGTCGGATACCTCGACAGGGAACGGCCCCAGCTCATCTTAGACGCCGGCACACAACATATCACAAGCCGGGCGAACGACAGAGGCCGGGCCCGGACTACACACAGGAGAGCACCTGACCACCCGCGGCCACTACACGCAGCATGGCACCACAGAAAAGCGCAGCCCCGAGACACCAGGCAGATGAAGCCCCCGGACGTGAGTTCACCCCCGGCACGGCCCCCCCCTCGGCCGGCGGGGGTTATACCACCGCATGGCGGCGACCCTTGCCACGGCGGGAGCTCCCGCGTGGAGTGTGGCGACCGCCTACACTGGCAAAAGCTGTATGTGAAACAGCAAGCCAGCAGCAGTTGACAATGTCATGGAGGGAAAGGAGAGCTTTAGTGGGGAGGCTCGGAAGCTGATACGGCGGAGAAAGTCCACCCTACAGAGGAAGCACCCAGGAAGAGATGGCAGCGGCACAGGAGGCTGCGGGAGTAAAGGACATTTATTACAAAATAATCAATTCTATAAGTCAACAAAAAGACTAGAAAAGCAAATGTGAACTGGATACCCAGGGTTAGAAAAGATGGTAATTTCTGGGAAAGACACTTCGGAAACTGCCCTACAATAAAAAGGATCTTAGGGTGAGATTTATTTATCATAGCAAAACAGCTGCGATTTTAGTTGCAAAATGCCAACTGCTATGATACTATAGACTGATTTCCATGATTGCTTCTTATTTAGCTCTTTGCCTCTGAATAGCACCTATTTTGACCTTGATAAATCTCCCCATTTATGTGCGAACACAAACTACTCTCCAGCTCTGTGGAGGACAGGAAAAATGGTATTGGGCGAAATAAAGGACTCCCAATAAAGGACTCCCTTTATAATGCGGTCATGGTTACAAAACTATCATTCAATTATTTTTAGAGGACATATATGAAACGGGCTAGCAAGGCTGTGGAGTGATACCCAAAGTGCTTTTTTTGCAACCTGAGCGGAATACTCACCTGAACAGAAACCAAGAAGACTTAATTTGTCCTCATACTATAAATTCAGAATTCACCAAACAACTTTAATTTTTTTCTGAAACCTGCCTCAGTCAGGTTCCTTTTGATTTTAGTGGGGACTACACTCAGTAGCAACTGCCAACTCCAAACTTGAGCCAAGAACATGTTCTCACAGACACAATTTGTTCTCAAAATTCTAAGGCTTTTAGAAGGGTAATATATAGGCAGTACAAAGCACCATCCTAACAAAAAAACAAAAACAAACAGAAGCAGCCAAAAAGACAAATTATTTTCAAGAGTTGAAATACAAAGAAATGTAAGCTATTCTCCGGAAGTCAACAAATAATATGATTTAAAATATCAAGACAGACATGTTTAAAATGAAAGCATTGACCCCAAACATTTAGAGTCCTTCAGTTAATCTCAACTTGATTGTTTTGGTATTCCTCAAGAGGCCTTGAGTATCTTTGATACTGACTTTTGTGATAACCTTTTTGGTTATCAGATACTTGCTAAATTCAGCATGATTTATTACATTGAAAGTTTGTCTTGTGTTACTCTGAGGAAACAAAAGTGAATATCTTTCCCCAAGACATATCAATGGATGCAGAAACAGGAACATTTAAAGAAACAGCTACCGCTCACTATAGTGGTTATGGTGCCATAAGTGCCCTGGTACCAAGATACATTTATTCAAAACTGTCCCTGCAATTTGTCATAAGTGCTTCCTGTAGAGCTGCAATTTAGCCACTCCTAAGCGTAGTCAGCAGCAATATAATAGTTCATCAAATGTTGGCTTGACTGGAGCAAGAGGTTTAAACAGCAAATTTTAGATAAAAAAGTCCTATTTTATATTGAGCAGGATTAAAAAAAAATCATTTTGGATACATGAACAATTTCAATACAAAAACTTACATTAACAGAACATAATATAAATAAAAAATTTATATGATATGCAAAAAAGTAGCAACAGAGCAGCATTCATGAAAAATAAAACACAAACGCTCTAAAATAAATTAAGACTTAAAATCCGGAGTTTGGCCTGCCTATTTAATAGCGTATTTCCAGACACAATCTGTTGGGATGACTTACAAACACATAATCCATTAGAAAGACTTACAGTACATTTATGCACAAGTCTAACAGTATTCATTCCTACTCCTTGTTTGGTACCAAGAAAGTGGGCAGTTTTAAAAAGGTCATTACATTTAGTCCTGGATAATTTCACTGTGACAAACGTGCCAATGCCACAAGCTCCTGGAAGAGCCTGCTAGTTAGCCTCCTGCCCAAAGGACTATGGACAGTATTCAAAGACCCCATTTGGGAGTTAACCTGCCCAGCCTGCCCAAGAGATTACTCCTTGGTTCCACTGGATCCATATCTCCCCTCTCCCCAATATAGCTGAACATTTGCTCCCTGGTGGTTGTTCACATTAACCAACCTGCAAACAGTCCTCAGCCGTTTTTCGCTGTGATCGCTCTGAAGACATTTTTGGCCTTTTGACCTTGCAGTTCCTGGTCATCTTGGTCTGTTGTTTTGAACCCCTTGCCAACCTGTCAGGAGAGCGCTTTTTGGAGGGAATGTGCCAGAGACTCTGAGGAACAATTGATGAGAGCCAGGAGCCGTATTTTGTCCACAGGAGTTCCTGAAATTTGACTGGCAAAAGCACCAAACACAATGGAACTATTTTGGGCAGGGACCATGTGTGCAGCTGATCAGAACTTTACCCTGGTGGTGATTCCACTACACTGCATGGATCTGAGTGCTATTTGGATAACTTGGGTGCTTAGATCAGGGGTATTTAGGGTTATAGGACATGTGGGGGTATTTTATTGTATTAACTGTGGGGTTTTTTTGTGTGTGTGTTTTGTACCATCTGTGTCCTGGAGGTGATCAGTTTACCGCTTGAAATGGCCACCCAGGTTGTTGGAGGGGTGTATGCCGTTGGAGACGTCCTTTTCCCGGCGAGAGACTGTGCTGCAGAGTATTCCCGATATCCCATCCGCTGGATCAGTGTAGAGAGGGTGAAGCAGAGCTCTTACAAGAGCTAGCGATTAAGCTGGAAGCAGGTACCCTTCAATAACGAGACGAGGCTACGTATTGGGGGTTAAGCAGAACTTTTTATAATGGGCACACAAGCATTTCTTTTATACACATTTTCCTACAAAGTCACCACCCATGTGGACCTTGTTGGGCACTGAGGACACAAACTTAACAGCCAATCATCAACAGTTACACAGTTTAAACACTCCCATTCATTACTGTACATTCCTCCCCTCTGCTTGGGAGATAATTGAGTTATTGCTGTATCAGCTCAATTATCTCCAAGTGAAAAATATACTTTTTACCCAATTTTTGTAACACCAAAACTATACAGTCAATTTTAATAAAATAAATACATTTTTGGAACAAGAATAATTGGGGGGTTACACATACTCAAAAATCACACAAATCCGTTCAGGGGTTCGGGAGATAGCCGAACATCCCTTCTTTGCCCGGCCGCACACGAGGCTCCTGCCCAAAATAGTTCCATGTGTTTAGCTGGTGCGGCCGGTCTCCTTTCGTACAATAAAAATACCGAAAAGTCATGCTTTTTATGGTTCGTGCTTTTGCTTGTCGTGTGCCACTCTGTTCGTGCAATATTTTACCGAACTCCACCTCGTTTGTATGAATCTGGGCGAAGCTAAGTGGTCCTAGAAGTCTCAGAGGGGTCTTCGGGAGTTTGACTGTCCAAAAATAGTTCCAGACACTCGACGACCAAACACCGCTGGACGCATTTGACAAAACAAGATGGCCACCCATTGAACCACTTAGAATGCTTGCAGTTTCGTGGTTTGGCACAGAGTCAAGGGGGTAATTGGCGGCACACGCCTGGGCTGGGTGGTCTCTCGTTCGGCAGTTTTGTTCGTTCATACGAATGGGTTAGCAGTGTTATTCGTTTTCCCATTCGTATGCTTTCACATATAAAACAGATAGCAAATACAAAGTAACAAATCCAGGGGGTTTACAGTGTTTCAGTCTGTGGGTCAGGCAATAACAAAAGTTCTGCTACACCGGTTATCAACTCAATTATCTCCTGGACACAGAGATACCTAGGTGGGGTTATGTGGAATACAATGGAGACCCCATGCTGGGGATCTGTGTATAAATTATGTGTGCCTTATCTGAATAAATCAGTTAATTTCCACCTTTCACTTAGTCTCGACTAGTGTTTAGGTGGACCAGCTATACTCTGTGCAGGAGAGCATAATCACTTGGAGCTATACCCAGGACCCTGTTTCAGGGCGGTAAACTACAGAGTGTAACAGTCACCAGGGGACTTATGGAACAGTTTACCAGGAGTTGGAGCCCAGTTGCAGGAGATGGCACAGGAAGCAGGCAAAATCCAAAACACAGTACAGATTAAGGGAAAATCCAAAGGCAGGGTCAGGTGAGAAGCAGAAGTCAGGGCTGGCAGCGGAGTAACAAAGTCGGTAAATCAGGCAGAGGTCAGAGTCCAGGAAATCAGACAGTAGCAAATCAAAGATCCATCAGGAAACACCAAACAGGCAAAATGACCAGATAGTAGGTCTCAGGCAGGGCTGGCTTTTACAGCCTGCTAATTAGGTGCAGCTGATCCTAATTGGAAAAGAGCTCAGGTGGATCAGTACTGCTTAATCCAGGGCAAGGTGGTCAGGAAGCAGAAAAATGCAAACAGAAACTAAAGCCCCCTGGTGGACAGCATGGCAGAGAACCTGACTGGGATGCTGGAGCTGTGAGTTCAAACCCAACAAGGTCTCTTAAAGGTCTCTTAAACCCCAGCCAAGCTGAGTTGGATAGGAGCTGAAGCACTACTGGTGGTGAGCTAGGAAACACTTTATTTTTTAATATTTGTAATATTTATGTAATATTTCTTCTATACAGTGCTTTTATCTAATATTGTTGATTATGCATTGGTACCTAATCAGACCACCAGAATTTTCAGTTCAGAGACAATATGAGAAAAGGCACTCAAAAAGTGAAAACAAAACTTTTGATAGCTGCAAAAATTCCATAAACATTAGAATTTTCAAGCTACAGTTCATATGAAATGTAATAAATTATTCTGGGGAGCATACCTGAGAGTCACGAGAATTGGCCAAAGTAGGAGTGTGCTTTTTAGCAGTACGGTCCACAACAGATATCCCCACATTGCTAGTTTGCCTTCACACATATAGTTGCCTGAAACAACACATGATAACCACAACAGCTGGAGAGATGCCTTGTGTACTCGCCATTTCTATGGTAGTAGCCACTAGTGTAGAAGACAGGGTTAGGTGATATG